TGGCAGCCTTGTCCACAATACTTACCTGTGCGGACTCTGGACCCCTGGCCCATCATCCTAGGATTCGCGCCTTTATCAAGGGCGCATGTAACACCAGACCTCCTGTGCTACACAGGTACCCCTCCTGGGAACTACCTCGGGTCCTTCGCGCCCTAACAAAAACGCCCTTTGAACCTTTAGCAACTGTCCCGTTGCGGAGTCTTTCTATCAAGGTGGTGTTTTTAATTGCCATCACATCGGCCAGATGTATCTCTGAGCTGGCCGCCCTTTTGATCAGGAATGACCTCTGCATCTTTCACAGTGACTGGGTGGACCCCACGTTTGTACCCAAGGTAAACTCGCTTTTTCATAGAGCACAGGAAGTCATACTACCAAACTTTTGCCCAGATCCTTCCCATGACTTGGAGCCAGAGTGGCACATGCTGGACGTCCGCAGGGCCCTGCAGCATTATATCAAGCGCACGGCACCTTTTCATAGATCCGAGGCCCTATTTGTATCTTTCTGTCCAGCTTCTCTGGGACAGAAGGTTTCAACTGGCACTATAGGCAGGTGGATTCGGAGCTGCATCGCGGAGGCATACCAGTCTTCTTCCCTGCCAGTTCCAAGTCATCTCACGGCCCATTCCACTTGCAGTGCTGTGGCTTTTGCAGCATGGGCCACTCAGGCGTCCATCGAGGAGATTTGCAGGGCTGCGACATGGTCCTCGCCTTCCCTGTTTGTATGCCATTACAAAATAGACCGCTTTGCCTCAGCAGACTCCTCCTTTGGTCGGAGGGTCCTTCAACAAGTAGCCTCCGAAGACACTAGTCTGGCCTTATCTGTTTCCCACCCATAGGGACAGTGAGGCTTTGGTATGTCCCATTGGTGGATTCTCCATCTCCTGTACTGGAGAAGGGGCGTTTTCTTACCTGAACGCCTTTTCTCAGTATGGAGGCGGAGAATCCACACCCATCCTTTAGATCAGTTAGGCCTTATTTAAGAGTTTGAGAGCCAACGCCTCGTCCACCTTCAGCCACTTTCGCCCTCGTTAAGACTGGATCTCCTAGCAAGAGGGGACGTGTCAAGTTTGACTACTTGGTCTCAAGAGCAGGCAGACAGAGAAAACCCATTGGTGGATTCTCCATCTCTGTACTGAGAAAAGGCGTTCAGGTAAGACAACGCCCCTTCTGTTCCTTAAGGCAGGGGTCGGCAACCTTAAACACTCAAAGAGCCATTTGGACCCGTTTCCCACAGAAAAAAAACACTGGTAGCCACAAAACCCTGTAGCCACAAAATTCTGCTGCTCCCTCCCCCCCAGAATTCCACTGCTGCTGCTGCTGCTGCTGCTTACCCCCTTCACGGAGCACCCTGCTGCTGCATTTTCCTCCTACGTCCCCCACACGGAGTGCCCCCACCACTTTTCCCTACCTTCCCCACACGGAGCGCCCTGCCACTGCTTTTCCCTCCTACCTCCCCTGTACAGAGTGCCCTGCCGCCGCTTTTCCCTCCTACCTCCCCTGCCCTGAGCACCCTGCCACTGTGGCTTTCCCCAGCAGCAAAGGTGGAGTTTGGGAGGCAGCGGCAGGGCATAGCCCAGCAGCAAAGCTCGTCCTCCCCACTCAAGGTGCAGCAGCAGGATTGCTCTCAATAAGGCAGGCACACATGAGCGAGCAGCGTACCTGACTCTTATTGTTTGAGAGCAATCCCGCTGCTGTGCCTCCGCTTTTTTCAACCATAATTTCCCCCCCTCCCCAACCAGCCAGCTCTTCATGAATTTTACATGGTCATAAAAATGTTTCACCACCTTTATCAATATTCTCAATATGGTGAATAATTCTGCTGCTGCACCTCCATTTTCTTCAGCCATCATCACCCGTCCCCAGCCAGCCAGCCAGCATCACCGATCTTCTTCTCATGATCACCCCATCCCAGCCAGCCAGCCACCATTGCCGATCTTCTTCTCATAATCCCTCCCTTTCCAGCCAGTCATCACCCCTGACCTCATAATTGCCCCCTCCCCAGCCAGCCAGCCACCATCCCCGACCTCCATCTCAACTGGCCAGCTGGCCTCATGCTCTTTTCCTCCTCCTCCTCCTCCTCCACACTCAATCGGCTGCTAGCGGCTTGGGTGGCTCTGCTCCATCCGAGTTGAAGAAAGCAGAGGCGCAGCAGAAAGCAGCTTTCTTCAATTTGGATGGAGCAGAGCCAACCAAGACACTAGCAGCCAATTGAGTGCGGAGGAGGAGGAGGAGAGCGTGAGGTCGGCTGGCCAGGTAAGGAGTAGATCAGCGATGGTGGCTGGCTGGCTGGCTGGGGAAGGGGTGATCATGAGGAGGAGATCAGTGATGGTAGCTGGCTGGCTGGTCAGGGGGATCATGGCCACTTGGGGGGCTTTGCAAAGCCTCATGGCAGTGGCACTTCCCCCCTGATGACAGGGGCTACTAATTGCCTTGTGGGCAATAGCGGTTTGACTATTTCAGCTTTCATGCTGTTGTATTGCGGCATCCGTGACAGGGCATCTATCAAAAAGTTTTTCTCTCCAGGTAAGTATCGGAGAGTAAAATTGAATCGGTGGAAGTGCTGGGCCCATCAAGCTTGTTTAAGGGACAGCTTCCTGGGGCACTTTAAAGCTTTGAGGCTTTTATGATTAGTCCATACTTGGAAAGGAATCTTGTTCCCTTCCAGGAAGTGCCTCCAGATAAGGAGGGCCGAGTGCACAGCTTCCTTCTCCCAGACAGCCCATCTTTGCTCATTTCTGTGAGTTTCTTTGAGGTGTAGGCACAAAGTTGCAGTTGGCCTTCCTGGTTTTCCTGGAGTAGTACCACACCCACTGCTATGTTGCTGGCATCAACCTGGATGACAAACAGTTTTTCTGGATCATATTGTAGGTCACTCATTCCTTGAATACAGTATAAGGTTTTCTGCTCTCAAAGTTGTCTTCTGGAAACTATCAAAGATAGATATTCTGGAGAACATGATAATCAGCATTCATGCTTCCTGGATTATGATAAATTTGTGCTTTTACTAGTTTTTAGGTTTTTCTTATTTTAAAAAAAAAACTGATAATACTGTGTATATAAATAAAATAAATAAATAGAACAGCTAATATACAATGTAACTCAAACTTCAAACAGCACATTAAACTTTAATACAAATCATGCTGATTAAATTTTTCACAGTATTGGCAGAAATTGTTTCACATGTAGAATATTTTCCATTTAGAGTTGTAGCTCGGAGTTCTAGTTTTTCCACCAAAGTAATACAGTTATAGTTTCTAGACATGCATGCTAACTCCAGTTTGATGTGACAAACAGATAATCGTTTGCACAGCCAGTAGAAGTTAATGTACAGTTGAATGCATTACAAATGTGCATAGGGAAATACTAAGAAATGATTATGTTAAATGGTTCTAGCTTTTAAGCAGAAAGATAAGATTAATTGAATGAAAATACCATATTCTATGAGATGGTAATGTCTATTTGGATTTCTGTCCAATGTATCTAAGAGTCAGATTCTTACAGTAACAAAATTAGTGGTATGAGATTGGCATAAGTAAAAAGATTTCAACTCCCATTTAAACAATTAATATTTTATATACTATTTTAATGATAGGGGTGCTAATGGAGTGGTATGTTAGTTGCTGATTTACATGAAACATTACAGAACATTACACTTACTTGCCTCTAACCCAAACTCAGCTGAAGATTGATTTGGAATCAGTGTTCTTCCAATATGTAAGTAAAATGTTTGATTATATTCAGCAAACAAAATTACAGTTCCCTTAATTTTCCAATGAGTTCCCATTTAATCATTATATAAATTAGCAGGGATTTTATGAAAACAATGCATTTAGAGAATCTGATTCCCTTTCATTTGTGTTCTGCTACATAATATTGTCTCTTAGGAATTAATTAATAAATTAGGGAGATAACTGCTAAAGGAAAAAATCAGTCTATTTTAGGAAGAACATGAGTTTAGGTTGAATCTTTGGCAATTCCATGATTTTGATACAAAAATGCATCTTTGGAGCATTTCTGAATAGATATTGCTTTGCAACAGATTATAAAATAAAATAAGTTCTTGCAAATGGCCAACTCCTAGCAGACAAAATATCTTATTTGGACCCCTTAGTGGGTTGGGTTTTTTTTGTACTGAAAAGGAAGAAAAATGGCCAAAATGGTGGGAAAATATAGGAAGATTAGAAATTATAAATGAAATATGATGCTGCCTCAATTCCCTAAACCAATCCATAAATTGGAGTAGGTGATAATTGCATTATAAAAGCTGTATTTAGTTATGACTATCTACTATATTGGATCATTCAATTTTACCTATTCCAGAAAATAGGAGAAAGAGGAGGAAAAAGTTATTTTTCTGTCTTATTTGTAAATCACCACTTCAGCTAGATTATCACAAAAACATGCTCAATTGTATGGTAGTGGAAAAAAATCAATACAATATATTGCAACTCCATTTTATCTACCCCACCCACCACCCCAAGGCATTAACTTTGTAATACCACAACAATTGAACTGATTCACTTTATTATACTTTCTACATCTGGAAATGATTTTCTTTGGCTGGCTTTAGTGAAAAGCTAACAATAATACATGTGTTTTAGCACAATTAAATTACTTTAGTTTTTCTATTCTATCAGCTGTAGAAGGGCATTTTGCCAGTAAAGAAGGCATTGAAAGAATGAATCAGATGAAGAATAAAAATACAATTTTAAAACAAATGATTTTGTTTAGCACTGAATATTATTAATGATGGAATGGATTTAAAATACAAGTTTATATGTTTTGAAGAATCTAATAGGCAGTCTAGATTTTGCTATTATCTGTGGCTTCTAAAATTTGATGCTAGTTAATTTTTCCTCTTTTTACTGAAATCTGAAAGTGGTTATTTTTGTTCTGAATGCTCCCTGTTCCTGCTTTTTGATATTTAATATTGAATTGAATGAAGTAATAAAATATGACTATGTTGGAAACTCTGACATTTTACCACCTAAAATTGGCAGTGATCACCAGACCAGAAATGGAAATTGGCATGTACCAATGGATACACAAGAGCTCAAGGCTACACCAGTACCATCATGTGTCACCATTGAAAGGCAATATTAGTCAAGGTAAATAAAAGGATGGAGTCAAATATCTACATGAGTTTAAATACAATAAGAATTGCTTTCATGAGCTTTAGCAATATTTCAAAAATATGTGACTTTGATTTTAGATTAGAAACTAATTATTACACGTGGCTTATTTCTTTTGCTTTTGAACTTATTTGAAGAAAACTTCAATTGTATGATTTTAAAAGCTACCATTACTATTCAGAACAAATGTTTTTTTAGTATCTTTGGGGGATCATCTATTTGACTTCAGTTCCTGCTTCCTTGAATTGAATATTTGCCTAATCCCATTACAGTTTTGAATGTTGTGGGACAAGCCATGTAGGGGTGGGAAGGTACTGTAAGATTTTTTTTAAAACAAATTTCTTGATAATTAATATCCTTTACAAAGCTTTAAAATTAAATTAAAAAATAATTAGCCACTTTCCATTATGAGGAAGGACATGTCTGTGCTTTGTATTATGACCATGATCAGAGCTGGATCTCAAAGTATACTTTTCATTAAAAAAAAAAAAATCTATAAAGCATTTGTAAAATTTGAAGAGCATCCAATAATGTCTTAGTTTGAAAAACCCAGAGTTATTTGTCTTGGATACTAAGATAAATGAATTTATGAAACCTTCAAAATAGCCCTAGCATAGAAAATACTCTAAATAATATTTAGTCAATGGTCTATATGGTATTTTCCCCATGCAATGGGTTTTTTTTTACAGTTCAGTAGATATCAGTATTAATTCCATCTTTTAAATGTTTTCAGAGGATATGCTTCTTTGACAAATGAGTTTTGAAGAAGGGGCCATGTTATACTAATTTTATACTGGTGGCTAATTAAGCTATAAAGAAGAGCTGTTCCAAATAGACCAGTTTTGTAATTTGGTTCCACACTGTTTGTCACTGAAAATTCTTGTATGTTGGTGGTTGGGTAAATTTTCTTTTTGTTTACCTCCTCTTTCCCCCGCCTTCTCAAAAAACTTTCCTCATAGGGAATGTTCTGGTTTTCCCTGTAAGGAAATTTTTTGGAGATTATTTATAGAATAATCTTTGCTTATCTTTTGTCTCTTGTTCCATAAGGTAGAAATAAGAGTGGGAATCAGGATTAAGAGTAAGACTCAGAATATTACCAGCAGATGGATTTCTAACTGGCTGACAAACCATACTCAGTGAGTAGTCCTTAATGGTACTACATCTACATGAACGGAAGTAAACAATGAGGGACCGCAAGGTTCTGTCTTAGGCCCAGTACTCTTCAATATCTTCATAAATGACATAGATGACTAGAAGGAGAACTCATCAAATTTTCAGATGACATTAAGCTGGCAGGAATAGCCAACACCCAGAAGACAAGCTCAGGATCCAAAAAGATCTCAACAGACTTGAACAATGGGCCTATCCAACATGAAATTTAATGTGGAGAAAAGCAAACTGTTACACCTAGGTGGGAAAAACTAAAAGTACAAATACAGAATAGTGAAACCTGGCTCAAAAACAATAACTGTGAGAGGGACCTTGGAGTCCTAGTGGACAATCACTTATGAGCCAGCAGTGTGCAGCAGCAGCCAAAAAAGCTAATATACTCCTTGGTTGCATAAACAGAGGCATCACATGGCTCAAAATCAGAATCAAAATCATGTGAAGTATTATAAATTATTTGTTGGAATATTCATGAACAGGAAGAGTCATGTGGTAACTCAGTAAGCCAATGTGAAGAAAGTGCTACTGAGTCTGTGCAAAAGAGTATTGAGTTAGGAGCTGGATTTCCAGTCTCATGTCTGTCTCTGGTCTGTCTCTGTAAGAAGTCTTCGTTAAGCTATGTTGCTGTAAAGAAGAATGGTATTGTAAATATTTTTATATAAATATAAAGTTATTTGAATCAGCTAAATGCAGTCAACTGTGAGAGCTTCTGATTTATTTTTCACCAATAGAGAAAATTAAAAATCTCTAACAGGTTATGGGCCCAGAGCTTACTAAGGACTGCATTGTAATTTAAAGCTGGAAGAAATTGCCTGTGTTTAGAAAGTATAAGAACAAGGCAGAATAAGCAGAATGGCTGCAATGGAATTTGAGGAAAACTCTGTGCCTCGTTTAGGCCAGAAGAATTACACTGTATGGGCTGCAAAAATGGAATGTTTGCTGAAAGCTAAAGAGTTGTGGTATATTGTTGAAAATCCACCACAAGTGTTTGCAGCTGCAGATCAGAAAAGCCATGATCAAGCAATGGCTTATCTCATCTTGAATTTAGGTGATGAACAATTTCTAAATGTTGCAAATTTAAAGACTGCAAAGGAGATTTGGTTGAAGTTGAGAGCTGTGCACGTGAATGTTTCTGCATGCAATATAGTGCAATTGTCAAGAAAACTTTACAGAGCCTGTTTGCAACCAGGTGAATCTGTGGAACAGCATTTAAATAAAATGCAAAGTTTATTTTTGGACTTAGAACAACGTGGGATTATATTCCCTGAGTCCCAGAAGGTTTTATTGGTGTTGAACAGTTTAGATAAAACCTGGGACACAGTTTCTGCAATATTTGAGTGCAAAGAAGAGCAAGACTTAAAGTTTGAGGCTTTAAAGGCATGTTTGCTTAATGAAGAACAAAAACACCATTTTAGAAGCAGCCAGGAGGAGGAGAAATTCCTGAGGAGGGGGTCCAGACTGCAAGTCTCCAGAGGAGAAGAAACAAGCAGATCAGACCTGGACCAAATTGCAACAAAGGAGAGATTTTGCAAGCAGAGAGCAAGCAGAGAGCGGGAAAAGACTTGCTACATTTGTGGAGAAAAGACACATTTGCAAAGGAACTGTTTGCAGAGGAACAATTTGCAGAAAAAGACATTTGTGCAAGGAAAAAGGACTGTTTTGCAAAAGGAACATTTTGGTGTTGCAAAAGTTTGCAATAGCAACAACAGAGACAAGTGGCTAATAGATAGTGGGGCAAGTCAAACAATTGTTAATGACTCTGAATTATTTTGCAGGTTTGTTCCAGTAGCACAAGAAGCTGTGGCTTTGGCAAATGGTCAGAAAGCAAAAGTCATTGGAAAAGGCGATGTAAAAATTCCATATTTGGAATCAAAGTTTACCAATGTGCTTTGTGTACCTGAGATGGAACATAATTTGTTAAGTGTGTCTAATTTAGACAAACAAGGTTTTGAGATCATTTTTGTAAATGGGAAATGTCTCATCAAAAGGAATGGGAATATTTGTGCAGAAGGCATAAAGGAAGATAATCTATATGTATTGCAGGGACAAAAGGTTCAATGTTCCCATATATTTAAGAATGTTGATTCATGTGTTCATCTTCTACATAGAAGACTTGGCCATGTAAGCTTTAAAGTTTTGCAGCAAATGCAAGATTTTGCAGAAGGGCTAAATTTGAAGGGATGCAAAACATATTTGGACTGTGCAGTATGCAAAGCATCAAAGTCAAAGGCATTCCCAGTTAGTAAATGTAGCACAAGACAAACAAAAAGAGTTCTAGAGCTGGTCCATGCAGATCTGGTGGGACCTATGCAAGCCAGTTTGGGAGGAGCAAAATATGCACTGGTAATTGTTGATGATTATAGCAGGTATTCATTTTGCTACTTGCTTAGAGCAAAGACAGAGGTGCTACAACAATTCAAGCAGTGTGTAAGTTTTGTAGAGAGAAGGTACAGACAACAAATGTGTCAGTTGCAAACTGACAGAGGTACTGAATTTATGTCAACTAAATTCCAACAATGGTTGGGGCAGTTGGGGATAAGACACAGACGTACAAATCCTTACACAGCAGCAGAGAACGGTGTAGCTGAAAGAAGGAATGGTGTTTTGCAAACAATGAAAGATTCATTATTGGAGGATTCTGGTATGAGCAGAATCATATTGGGGAGAAGCCATATTGACTGCTAATTATATAGTTAACAGGCTGTGGAGTTCCTCCATTAATAATACTCCATATGCCATTCTATATGGGAGAAAGCCATCATTAGTATTATAAGTATTATTTATAAATCCTTAGGAAGACCATGCCTGGAATACTGCATCCAGTTTTGGTCACCATATTACAAAAAAGATGTTGAACTTTGGAAAAAGTGCAAAGAAGAGCAACTAAGATAATTAAAGGCATGAAGACAAAAACATATGAAGAATTGGTTGCAGGAATTGGGTATGGTTAATGTAGAGAAAAGAAGGACTAGGGGTAACATGATAGCAGTATTCCAGTATTTGAGGGGCTGCCACAAAGAAGAGGGGGGTCAATTTATTTTCCAAATCACCAGAAGGCAAGACAAGAAACAACAGATGGAAACTAATCAAGGAGAGAAGCAATCTGGAATTAAGGAGAAACTTTCTAAACAGTGAGAACAATTAACCAATGGAATAGCTTGCCTTCAGAAGTTGTAGGTGCTCCATCACTGGAGGTTTTTAAAGAAAAGACTGGACAGCCACCTGTCTGAAATGGTATAGGATCTCCTGCTTGAACAGGGAGTTGGACTAGAAGATCTCCAAGATCCCTTCCAGCTCTATTCTGATTGAGTATTCCATTAGGTAGAAATAAGTTGATTCTATCCAACTCTCTCCCATATCTTTACATCATATTGGGCAAATACAATTATGATATAAAATTGCAAAATTACAAATGATGTACACATTGATTGAACAGCAACCGTACATTCTGGAGCACTTTGCAGAAAGACAACCATCCACAGTTATCAGCTCATTTTATTGATATAAATTCTAAATAGTTTTCAAGAAACTTCTTGTATTAAGGTGCAGTATCTTTGATATGATTGATAATTAAGAACTTTTAAAGGACTGGTTTGTAAAAATCTTTTCATTTTTTTTAATAGACTCAATATGCCATATCTCTTTTCATGCTTGATTTCTTGACTCCATTACAGTAGTTGCTTCTCTTGATCTTTCCTAACCAAGTTAAATAAATTAGAAACAAAACTCAAATTTTGAAAATAAAAGCTTATTCCATTTTTCCCATTTGCATAATAACCCCACAACATAGGAATATTTAGGAGACAATT